ATGGGAGCCACGTAACAAGATTTCAAAACAAAATCTTGAAAAAATCTACTTTTTTTTACGAGGTACATTTTGATCCAATCCTATTTCTATTTATAAAGTAACAAAACGATCGAGTCCAAATTACACTTACAGACAAAAGTAGAAAAAATGGATCCAAATAATAAATGCTTTCCCGTGTCGAGTTTTGTATTGATAGATAATTACACGTATTAAAAGTATACATGGGACGCAACTAGAAAACAAATTTAGTGAAAGTAGCATAGAACTAAGAAAATTTTAAAAAAGGCAAGACGTGGCTCAAGCAACTCGGGAGCCTTAATTTTGTGGTGCTACCAAAGTTACTAGTATATTATAAGAACCCGCAAGAAATCTCTAACTCAGCATCCAATCGAAGCATAGCACTAAGGTTACTAATATATTATAAGAACACGAGGCATGGCAAGCTCGCAACAACTTCCGAAATATCCATGACGATAAAGAAAAATGTTTCTATTGCATCGTTCACTAGTTTCAAGTTGCTCTTTTTATTCGCATCACTAAGTCAATCAATCAAATCATAGTGCTCAATGATTCTGTTAGTCCAATACTAGTCTCCTAATATTGCATAATCTTAGAAGATTAAATGGAATAAAATTATACAAAGAAGAAGTCATTTTTTTTCCCCACTTTCAATCTATAGACATGCCATAATTGAAGTACTATTCAGGACCATATTGCACATAAATAAATAAATAAATAAAGTAGGTCAATTCGACCAAACTCTAACAACCAATTTATTTAAATCATTACATATATAATATGCAATGATAAAATCTAATAAATAATACAGTTGTTTCACTTAGGCCTTGTTTGTTTATGATTAAAATCTGATTTTAATTTAAGTTAAAGTCAAGCAATCAATATTAATCACATCTTTCATGGATCCTACGACCTTTTAACCACATATTTCAAAAATTTCTATCACAATCCATAGGCGGACCCAGGTGGTCATGGTGGGGTGGGGGGGGCACGTGCCCCCAACTTTTTAGTAGTTATATATATCATGTTTGGTATCGATTGAAATATAAATTTTAATTTAAATCAAAGTTAATAATTAATTTTAATAACATATTTCATGGAATCCATAACTATTTAACTTTTATCAAAATTTACTAAAAATTTGATTTTAATCTCCATCAAATATGGGCAAAATCACAATAAATTTTAATTTNAATCAAAGTTAATAATTAATTTTAGTAACATATTTTATGAAATCCATAGCTATTTAACTTTTATCAAAATTTACTAAAAATTTGATTTTATTCTCCATCAAACATGGGCAAAATCAAAATAAAAATTTTTCTCTTTTTCTCTCGTCTTTTAGCAAAATCTTAATTCTCCATCAAATAAGGGATAAAAATATTGCATTCTTAATACCATTTCGAAATGTTCACGATCTAGTTTTCTACGTCATTAATATCGTACGAAATGATCAATCGTAGCAAATGATATGACTTGTCAAAGTAAGCCATTCAAAATTAATATTTTGAAAATTTCCATAATATGCCAACTTTAAAAAATTTTCGACAATCGTACGCTAATCGAATATACAAATTGCTTATGTCATCTCAAAACTTACTTCGAGAACTACATTATAGGCATATCAAATAATCTAAACAATTATCAAAAATAGTTAAAAATGAGTTAAATGTGAATTTTAAAGAAAGACATTTAACTTGTATTTTCTTTTTAAAAAATTCAATTATTTCATTAACATTTATTATTTTTGTAATATAAATTTCTCAATGTAATTTTATCATTTTATTAGGAAATTTTATATGGAATATGATATAAATTTTTTTCGAAATTTTATATCTGAAAAAGTCATATTCCATGTAAATTTTCAGATCCAAAATTATGTGAAGTATGACTTTTTTGGACGTAAATTTTCGATTGTAAAATTTCTCCTAATTTCTTTGCAAGGTCGATTGTGCCCCCCTAACTTTTAAGTTCCGCGTCCGTCCCTGTCACGATCTACTAAAAATTCAATTTTAATTCTCACCAAACACCCACTTAGACTTTTTAAGTTGTTATTATTGAACAAGCGACATAACATTTTTGATAAAAATTTGCCAAATGTTTGATCAAATTTTATAAAATGTTGAAAATTTGATAAAATTGTTGGTCCTATGAAATGTGTAATTAAAATTAATTGTTGACTTTAATCTCAATTTTTTTAATTATCCTAAACAAGCACTATATTTTGATTTTCAGTTGATCAATAATGATTAGTTTGACATAACTTTTGCTTTTACTTTTACTTGTAAAAGATTTTTTTTGAGAAAACTATCTAATTTTTGTTTGAAAAATTAATTTTTAAAAGAATTTCATATTTCAAAAGTGTTTTTAGAGAAAGTCATATTGAACATACTTCTTCTAAAAACTCTTCTAATTTGAAGAAACACTTTCATAAAATTAACCAAATGGTTCAAAAACTCTGCTTTGACTTTCCAAAAGACATGTCAAATGGACACNTGTCAAAGTAAGTCATTCAAAATTAATATTTTGAAAATTTCCATAATATGCCAACTTTAAAAAATTTTCGACGATCGTACGCTAATCGAATATACAAATTGCTTATGTCATCTCAAAACTTACTTCGAAAACTACATTATAGACATATCAAATAATCCAAACAATTATCAAAAATAGTTAAAAATAAGTTAAATGTGAATTTTAAAGAAAGACATTTAACTTGTATTTTCTTTTTAAAAAATTCAATTATTTCATTAACATTTATTATTTTTGTAATATAAATTTCTCAATATAATTTTCATCATTTTATTAGGAAATTTTATATGGAATATGATATAATTTTTTTTTCGAAATTTTACATTTGAAAAAGTCATATCCCATATAAATTTTCAGATCCAAAATTATGTGAAGTATGACTTTTTTGGACGTAACTTTTCGATTGTAAAATTTCTCCTAATTTCTTTGCAAGTTCGATTGTGCCCCCCTAACTTTTAAGTTCTGCGTCCGTCCCTGTCACGATCTACTAAAAATTCAATTTTAATCCTCACCAAACACCCACTTAGACTTTTTAAGTTGTTATTATTGAACAAGCGACATAACATTTTTGATAAAAATTTGCCAAATGTTTGATAAAATTTTATAAAATGTTGAAAATTTGATAAAATTGTTGGTCCTATGAAATGTGTAATTAAAATTAATTGTTAACTTTAATCTCAATTTTTTAATTTTTTTAATTATCCCAAACAAGCACTATATTTTGATTTTCAGTTGATCAATAATGATTCGTTTGACATAACTTTTGCTTTTGCTTTTACTTTTACTTGTAAAAGGATTTTTTGAGAAAACTATCTAATTTTTGTTTGAAAAATTAATTTTTAAAAGAATTTCATATTTCAAAAGTGTTTTTAGAAAATTCATATTGAACCAACTTCTTCTAAAAACTCTTCTAATTTGAAGAAATACTTTCATAAAATTAACCAAATGGCTCAAAAACTCTGCTTTGACTTTCCAAAAGACATGTCAAATGGACACTAAATTTCATTGACGCAAATGTACAAAAATTGGTAGTAACTTAGTAAATTGAGAATATCACGTTTACAAAATCTTTGGTACATAGGGTAGACACTATGAGGGAGGTGGTCAAGTAAGGGCAAAATTTAACTACGTAATAATGTTGAAATGTAACAACTTTTTTTAATTTTTCCTTTTGCGCTTTCATGTATTGATAATGCTGCACAAAGATCTTATTACTTATTATTAACGAAATTTAATCGTAAAAATTACTTGAACCAATAAGAAAAAGTAACTACAACGGTTGTTATCTATCCTACTTTTTAACTAAAATTATCTATAATCGGTAAACTGGTTGGCGGGTTGATTTTTGATATTAAATGATGAAAACAAATACCAAGACTCGCGATTTTACTTTAATCCTCTCCCTTTATTTATTGTACGAATTCATGGTACTTATTCATATTGTGCATCGACCGGACTTTAGGCACCGAAATCTACTAAGGACAACCTCTATCGGCGGCCTCCAATTGAGGCTGTATTATGCAATTTTCTAATTTCTCCTCTAGTCCTCATTTCGGCCATCGTTCCTTCCAGTCTCAATCCCTAACTCCAATAATCAAATTTTCAATTTCGACATATTTTCCATCTCTTCGTCTCTCATCAACTCTGGATTGAATCTAAAATATGTGAAAACACAATCATATAGCACTACAAACTAGACAACATTCAAATTCACAAACATGTGGGTAGTACTTGCGAATTCTAATGAATGTATTGATTAAAAGTACTTGAACAACTACCAAACAAGGGCTTAAGTAAGCCCCCACTAATTTCATTGACATAGCCCATAATTGGTGTAGTTTAAAAATATATTTTAGTAAATTTTGATAAAAATTAAGGAAGTGTATGATTGAAAAGTTGAGCATCCCAGGAAATGTGTGACTAAACTTAACTATTGACTTTAATTTGAGATTTTTAGCAACTTTTAATCTAAACCAAACATGACATTAAAAAAAATCATTTGATTTAAAAAAGATGTTTTCAAATCTAGATTCTTCAACCGCGAGGGATATTCAAAATCAAATTCGAATATGATTCACGCCGAGAACGTAGGAAAAAGTCGTATGTCACATGGGACATCACACGTGTGAAAACAACCTTAAAATCTGGACCCGTGAAACCATGCGACACTGCCAAAAATATCTACATAAAAAATTCAAACCCTTGGATAGAGATTTTCCAAAATCATTTTTTTAGGAGTTTTCAAAATCGAATTGTTGATTATTATATATCGCTAATTTAGAGTATGTTTGGTAGAGATTAAAATTTGATTAAAATTGAAAAATTAGTCGTTATTATTGACTTTTATTAGACGAGTGAGTTTCAGTAATGGTTATATTTGCAATTTTAATTGAATTTTAATTCGAAGCGAACATGCCCTTGATAATTTCTCAATCTATTATAAATTATGGTGAAAATAATAATCCAAAATAATGATATTTAAGTAATGAGTCCTTTGCATATAATTCATTATTATTTATATCTAGCGAAAATATAATAAAAAAACATTATACACATGACTTGTCGCACATATAATTATCAACTTTAAAATAAAAAGAAACTTTTAAATTTATCAATAATCCTTTTTTTTATAGAGGGTTTTCCTATGCAATAACCTAAAATAAAAATAAATTTTAAGTTAAAAAAATAAAATGTCTTTTATTTGAATTACATTTTATTAACACGCACAACTCAGATATTTAAGGATGGCACAGAGATAGCCCTCCCCGCGCCTTATCTTGTCTAGGATTTTTGGGAGTCGGGGAATGGATTTTTCACTTATTTAATTTTTCTATTTAAAAAAAAAAATTAATTGGGTTGAGTCGGGTTCGAGAAATTTTGCAATCCTTAAGATAATATTATAAAAAAATAAAAAGGTTAGTAGGTTACTTATAAATAATTTTATTATAATTAGAAAAGTAAGTTTTAAAATAAATAATATTTTTTTAGTAAAAATTAAACTTGAATTTCTTACCCAAATTATTTATTTTTTTAAAAGCAACTTTTTGTAATTAATAGCAAAAGCTTCTTTTTTTTAAAAAAAGTAAATTGTTCAAATATCTCTAGAAATAATAAATTATTTAAATTTAATTTTTACTCGAACAAGAAAAAGTAGAGTGAGAGAAGTATATAGGTTCTCTAGAGAGTAGAGACTGAGATTTGAGTTCAAAATCTAGTGAGAGAAGAAAATGGCAACACCTATAAGGAAGTCCCACACAAACACCTCCGATCTCCTCACATGGTCGGAGGTCCCGCCGGCCGACAATTCAGCAGCTGGGAATGCCTCACGGTCAGCCACTCGTCCTAATCAGGTATGCTTAACGTCATTTTCCCGGCCACTGATGTCACTCATCTTTGATAAAAACCGATAATTTTTTTTTTGCCTTTTATTTTTTTGTGTAGCCATCGGATGGAGTCGGTAAGGTGCTGTTTGGAGGTCAGATCTCTGATGCAGAAGCTGAGAGCCTTAATCGAAGGTAAATAAAAAGGCAAATCGATGAAAAAAATTCCCTTTAAATTTGTTCATTTTGTGTTATTTTGCTCGTTTAAAGCCAATGGATTGGATCGAATTACTCGTTTCAGCTTGTGGATTTGTTCTATTCAATAATAGATTTATGCCGTGTTAATTGAAAATGAATGAAAAAATTAAGAAAGTAATTTCCTAATTCCTTTTAATGATTTTTGAACCAAATCGAAGTGCTGATCTCGTCCAGAAATGCAATTGGGGATTAGTCGTTGCGATTTAACTGTTGTAGGCATCTGTTGATGGAGTCGGAGAATACTCGTATGGTTCGGGTTTTTGAAGTATGTGCCTCGCTCGATTGAGAATGTCTAGAGGAAAAAGAAACATTTATAGAATGAGGTTCAATAGGCTGATTCGAAAAGATAGGAAATGGAGTTACCACTAGATATCTTGGCTAGTCGAATCTTCCATTCGAAGGTCAAAGTTAAATAATTCATTCTTCATGAATTGGAATTATATACGAAATTGCCAAGAACTGGATAAATCCCTTGACATCAGTTTGCGAATTAGATCAATTTCTAAGGTCGTTTAGATTTGATCGTCATATATTCGCAATGATTCATGAAATTCTTATGAACTGTTTGTATTTGATAATTTCAGGAAACCTTGTTCAGGCTATAAGCTAAAGGAGATTACTGGCAGCAAAATATTTGCAGCTGATGATGAAAATGGGGAATCGGAATCTGGAACTTCTGATAATCGAACATCCGTGCGCATTGTGCAGGTATTTCTTTATTTACTCAGCATGATATTAGCTTGCGCAGAAGAATTGGAAATTAAATTACTCTTCCATTTTTTTTATTTTTTATTTTTTTTCTGATTTTTATTGTTTTGATTTCAAGCAAGCTGCGAATGGTATAAGCCAGATTTCTTTTAGTACTGAAGAAAGAATTTCTCCTAAGAAGCCAATCACTGTTCCAGAGGTTGCAAAACAGCGAGAATTAAGCGGAACGATAGAAAGTGAGTCGGAGAGCAAGATTAAGAAGGCGCTGTCGGATGCTAAATGCAAAGAACTCACTGGGAATGATATCTTTGGCCCTCCACCCGGAATTCGTCCTCGATCATTGGCAGCTCGCACTTTGGAATCAAAAGAAATCAAAGATATGGGTGAACCCGCCCCACGAACTGTACGAACATCTGTCAAAGTTTCTAATGTGAGTCAATTGACGTTTCCTCTTATCCTAGTCACATGCTGTCTCTCCTCTCATACCTCGACTGAACTTATTTGTGTGTTTTATAGCCTGCTGGAGGTCAAAGTAATATCTTATTTGGTGATGAACCCGTAGTCAAGACTTCGAAGAAAATTCATGACCAGAAGTTTGCAGAGCTGACTGGCAATGACATTTTCAAGGGAGAGGTTCCTCCAGGTTCAGCTGAGAAGTCATTGAGTACGGCTAAGCTGAAAGAAATGAGTGGCAATAATATATTTGCAGATGGAAAAGTCGAATCCAAAGACTACTTTGGTGGTGTCCGCAAACCCCCGGGTGGTGACAGCAGCATTTCCTTGGTTTAGCCAATGGCATGACGCTATCTATTCTGGTATTTTTTGCGCAATTTATTTCAGCTCGATTAGTGGGTTTTATGGTACCTAGGGATCAGTTGTCGCGACTGTAAATTTACTGGGATAGTAAATCTATGAAGTATCGAACTAGGTAGTAGTTATTTAACCATTTGATGTAAAACGTGGATGATTTTTGCTTGGACTCTAATCTCAGTTCCCCTGTTTACTTCTTCTACCAGTCCTTCGATTGTGACACGTGCATGTTCAAATATTTTCTTGTTATTTGCATACGTTGGCATGAAGAGGCAAAATTGAACTTTTTTCCTCGAAATTTATTGAAATGTATGTTTAGTATACGATGAAGCTATAGGTAATAATGTAGGGTGGCCTTTTTTCAATGGAGTGTAAGCACGTTTATCTTTTGTGCTTGTAATAACGAATTTAGAGTGATTCATTTTCAATGTAAGAGTGCGTTCATTTGTCGCGGTTTTCTCTAAAATGAAAATACCAGCAACATTTCTCGAGCTAGTAATGGAGAAGGTCGAGGTTGAACAAGCAATTCGGCACCTCTAGGCACTCTTCTAATCTAGCCAACAAGTAATAAAAGATATTGCACATTGAGCCATATGAGAATCAGGGAGAAAGCCAAGGAGAAACACATAATCTGACATCAAACACACAGAACAAGTATAAGAGACATTATTAAAAGTGACTCAACATGCAAAAAAGCTCAGTGCAGATTCAATAATTCCATACCATACGAAAGAAGATGACTTCTCTACCATAAAAATTTGCATCACTCAAGCATTTCCATGGCCAATCAAGGCAAGAAGCATTTTCTCATAGTCCCCAGATGTGTCTACAGCAATTGCTCGGTCCAGAGGGACACTGCTCCGTTTATGGTATTCTTCTTTGATACACTGCATGTCAACCTCAGCTCGTGTAACAACAACACGAGTAAGAGCCCATTCGTCCGTGCCCAGCTTGTTGATAGCCAATCGAAGAGTTTTCTCAAAATACTTCTCGGGACAAGTTAAGCACTTAATAGTTGCTCGGAGCAAGGAGAGGTATTCGTCTTTGGGATCAGCTTTCAGATCCTATAAACATGACAATCAACGGCGCTGAGTAATTGATCATACATAGCTACGACAATAAGTAACATTTAATTGTCGTAACATTTAATATTGCTCTATGCGATTTTGCAAAACTCTTTAAGAGAAAGATTCACGGAGTCTGTAAATATTGTAATGAGAACATCTTGAAAATGGCATCAAGAAGAGTTCTGTCATTGTGCAAGTGTGGAGGAATATATTTTTTGAAATTTCCCAAAAGGATCGAAGTGCAGGAGTTATAATATAGTTTCTTAATTTATTATTAAGTGAACCGTGATAACTAGAAGTTTAAGCAATTACTGCGAGTACAAACTTATTTATATAAATTGAGTAATGTTATTCATCCCCAGTGGGATTACAAACATAGTCTAGTGGCTCTAAATGATAAATTAAATGAAATGTAAAATTAAATGACTTATTTAATTTCACCTATCATTTAATGTCACATTAACGCCACCTAGATTGTGTTTGTAATCCCAGTGGGGATGAATAGCATTACTCATATAAATTAGCCTTCACATGCTGGACTAATTCATCGTTCATCATTAAATACCAGACACATGCACAATTTTCAAGATAGGTGGTTGCGAGACTTGACCAAAGAGCAAGCAATGTTGATGTTTTTAAGCCTTACTGCCACCTATATAGGAAAATTGTGAACTAAAGAATGATTCCAGCCGTGCATGTTAAAGGGACACGTTAGAATTTAAAACTAAATTTATAAATAAAAATATACCCCCTAACATGAGGTGGTTAAACAAACTATGACTTTATGACTTTGGAAAAATGACTTTCCTGTCAATACTTTACTACCAGAGGAAGATATACCTTATTGATAGGATTTCCAAAATGATTGTTATATTGGTTAAGAGTTGCATTGAGCTGTGCTTTGCTCTTTGTCGTCAGAATTCTGATAAGCTCTTCATCATTGTAAGCCTTCTCAGATATCTTCTCATGGAGTAACTTAGCCTCCGATTTTGCCAACATCATGTTCACCTCGTCTCCTTCATACCGGAAGGCACTCACAAGAGGAACCAAAAGCTGTTTGGAAATTAGTAAGCGCAAAGTAGCAACTGCTTGAATTTATTTGAAACGAGAATATATATGCATTACTTGTATTTTCTCTTTTTCATCGTAAAGGTTTCACTAGAGAACGTAATTAAAAGACCTAGCAATCTTTCTTATCAGTAGAAAGATCATAACAAGGAATATAGAGATGCATAGAGTAAACGAGGAGAATCCAACACATGCTTATGTGGAAGGTCCTATGAGGAGTGATGCATGCGTAGAACTTCATCTTCAATGCAAAATTAATGCACAAAACAATGAACAGTGTTGTGGATTAAGTACTAATTCCAACTTCTGAGACCATAATAAATATGAAATCATCAAGAATATGACCAAGCACAAAGAAACAGTGGTTCGTACTCATTGTAGGAGCTTCATCCTGCAGGTTTTCACTATAATGGAGAAGGGTACAAAGTTTTCTCACTATAATGGAGAAGGTTAAAAAGGTTCATACTCATCGTGATAGCTTCATCCTGCAGGTAGGAATGTTAGGCAACCTAATACATATAGGAAATACCAACATGCATCCAAATTTAAAAATACTCCTAAGATTCTCTGGGGGACACAAACATTGAAATTAAAATTTATAACATTCTGGGAGTTCAAGATTTACCTTACGGAAGTCTCCGGTTGTGTGATGTGCAACATCTTCTTCAAGGGATTTCTTATAACGAGCATGATATGCCTGCCTTGCCCTAAAGAGATCAAATGGGGATCTGGTGCAAGCAACTTCCATTATAACCCAATTGCTAGCAGTCAACCGCTTTGTAGCCTCATTAACCAAGTATGCATCTCGCTCAGCTGGATCCAACGTCCAGAGCAGTACTACACGCTATTATATTACACATATGTGCAGTCATATGTTAGCAAATCATCATCCTATCTAAAAACCAATTATAGCAACAAAAGCCAACTGGAAAGTCACTTCGTTTCCGAGAAAATCATCTCAAGATTCTGAACAGACCTGAAAATCATTTGAAAGTTCACTGTCCAAGTCTTTCAGAAGATCTTCTCCATAAGTTGCAGCATATGTTTCCCGAATCAACTTGCGTTGTGCTGCATTCCTATGAGCCAGAATCTGGATAATCAATTTCTCATTTGTTCCCCATCCTGGAGAAGTATATTCAATAGAGATGTATCATATCAGAGCAAAATATATTCATTTCTTGAATCTTCTCTATTCAAATCATAAGCTTTCACATCTACAATTATCTTTCAAATAACTCCAACAAATATAATTAAATCTAGAAACAGAGGTTCCATGTTTATTAACATGGAAACATTTATTATGCCTCAAAGAGAACCGAAGGGTTCAATTTTAGTCCTTGTTTGAGTACCAAGCCAGTTAAATTCTACGATGGCTAATTCTACTTGAAATTTGCAAAAGCATCCCATACAGACTGTTAAACCCAATTGAGCACCTATTTGTTAGATACTCTCAATCAAAATCAAATACTCGTAACATTTCGAGATAGAAATCACTGATCCCTATCCCAAACAAAATCAAAGTCAGTGACGCGTATATTTCCAATACATATAATCATCCACACATTTAACACTGAATTCACACAGATAACAAATCCGATCGCATAGATCTGATCAAAATTATGAAAACACCCAAAAATAACACAAAAATAAGCAAATACATATGGTCAATTGCAGTTTTTACAGCGCATTCGCACAGAAAAAAACCGATCATATAGATCATATAGATTTGATCAAAACGATGAAAAAAACAGAAAAAAATCAAAAAAATAAGGAAAAATTGTTCAAGTAAAAACCTGCAAAAGCTTTTTTGAGTTGCTCACAATCCTCAGCAGGTGAAGGAACGGATGAAGGAACTTTAAGAGTCGCCATTTTTTTTTCACTCTGTAACTCTATTGTGCGAGCGGTGTGTATTTATGACTGTGATCAGTGAGTTTACCTGAAGAAGATACGGATTTTTGGCTTTAATAATTGAGTAAAAGGTGACAAAAAGTTATCGAAAACAACGTTGAGATCGTGACTGACTTATTTAAGCGATTATTCATCTGCATGAAAACGTGAATTTTATGATACAGTGCCTCCAATACGAAAGCTATTTC